GCTCCATCCACCCCAGCATCACAGCATCCGCAAGCTGCATCTGGTACCTCAATGTATGTACGAAAAACATGTAAAGCTGTGTCTATGGCCCAGAAGTGGGCAATTATTTCAGGAGGAGAGTCACTTATCGAGTTTTAGCAAGCCATCGAGTGTCGCATGACAGGCATCCAGGGGCAGATACATATTAATTTTCTAAATGTTTTAGGGGCCCCGTGGACCAGATAGAATGGCCTGGCAGGCCACATGTGGCCCGCAGCCCACATTTTGCCCAGCCCTGCTATGGCCGAATTGCTGATTCTCTGAGTCAGCATTAAATCTTCAGATTCAGATTCGGCTGAACTGATTCGGGGACAGTGATCCAAATCAACAAATCAAAGCACTGTCCTAGATTCGGGCTGAATCTGAATATGTCCTGTTTTGCACACCCCTACTGGCCAGTTATGTCGCAGACTTTCCTTATTTTCCAGAAGTATTCACCCTGAATGATACTATAGCTGCAACAGTTCTGAGGCATGGTAGATCTGAGTGTGTACATCTTAGGCTTACTTCCAAGAACAGCAATAACTAACAATAGGCTATAGTTCTGGAACAGTCTCCTGGACATGGTTGAAAATATCATCCCATTATCCTATAGCTAATGGATTATCTGAATATAGAATGTGTATCATAAAGACTTTATCCAGAAAAAACAAATGGAAACAAAGAAAATTCATAATCAACACTGCTTCACTATAGAGCTATCTTGCTGGAAAATAGAAGGTTACCAGCTGACCTCTTCTCCAAATTATGTATGAGCATTCTATTACTAGCCATGAACACAGCTAAAGGATGACTAAGGAGTATATGACAGTACAGGAAAGACTGAGAAAATTTAAGCAGATAAAGAACTATAGCCCAGGAACCAGGACATTTGCAAAGTTAAAAAAAAAAGAGTTGGTGAAATATGACAGCTTGGGCACTGTTCCCTCAAAGCTACAGGAATAAAAGATTCACCCCTCTCCTACTCTATCATCAGAGATTAGGGCAGAGTCTTAGGAAGGAATCCTAAGCATTTGCTCAAGATACCTTAGAACTTAGTAGAGATGAAGTAAAAGCAGACAACTCGTGTTCAAAATGATTCACAAAATTGATCCTGTTATTGACAGAGCTTGAGGGACCTGTGGCTGATAGGAACCTTCCTGAAGAAAATTTGCAATACAGTAGAACAGGAAGATAGCTTTAACACACTGAGACCATGTCAACATGAAAAATTTACTGTGCCTAGCAGCACTTTCCTCAAGCATTCTGTGCTGTCCATGCTTGCTGATTATTAAAAGAGAAGCAATGGAATTACAGCTATGGAGCACCACTGCCTGCAAGCTAATTACCTTGGGGCTAGGCTAGCTGGGTTTACCAAGTAGCCTGCAAAGATCTAGCCTTCAAGGATCACAGGTGTGACTACACTGCTTCTGGATAAGTGGCAGCTTCTGTAGATCAGCGTATTGTGCTTAAGGTCACTGTTTCAGGGCACAATAAGTTAACTATGTAGGTATGGCATAAGAGACTGAGACATACTGTAGTTGCATTGCAACTACTTGAAAGATTTTTAAGTAAGTTATTGTATTAACTGTAATTTCTTAATTTAATGTAATATTGTTTTTGGTAGGATGTTCACAAGGAAGATGTGATCTGAAAAGGTAAATGCTTCAGGAAGTGCAGAGATGCCAAACTTCCTGCATGCTGTCTATATACCCCTGGGTGTGTTTCTTGTGACCTGCTACATACTGGTAAGAGTAATCAGAGGAACTCAATGCAACGGATGGACACAAGTGGCATCTAGGCAACAACAGGAAGTTTGTTACCTGCTTCTGTGTATTATTTCAGTTCTTTATACAGGGTTTATTTTGAAAGAGTTTTGTTCATCAAGAATATTTGCATCCATTTTGACTGTTGTATTTACTGACATAGTTTCTGCAGCATGCCCTGGTCCCTCAAAGGGTACTTAAAACTATTTCCATTACTTTTTTACTTTTTAAACCTTTTTATTATGTGTTTGTCATACAATATCTGAAAAAGCTTAAAACAGCAGAAGAACAAGGAGATGTGGCAGAAACGTTGCTTTACACATAGTTGACTGTGTAGTTTTGCAAATAGTTTAGACAGTGGATTTGTACAGGATAGTTTGGATAGGGATGGTCCTGCTTCAGGCAGGGGCTTGGACTAGAGGACCTATGGAGGATCTTCCAACCCTACTTCTCTATGAGTCTATATGTTTAGGTGTCTCTATTACAGGGTAGTGTTGATAGGATATTGTACCTTTGATGAGCCAAGAAAATGTGAGGCAAGAATTTATGTGGTCCAGTAAAAGATATTACCTACAAAACTTTGGCCCCTCCATTACAAGGTCCTTTTTTCTGTCAGTGTACCGAATCACGAAAGTTACCAATTCTTAACTGCCTTGCATGTCAGTTCTCTGTATATGGCAGTGGTTTTCACCCTTGGTATTTCACCCCTTGATAGACTTATGGCACTCCTTGGAAAATGCCAACTGTTAGTTTTCACATGTTTTTGTGCCAGAAATAGAGCAATTCTTTTGTTCCAAAGAACTCAAGACCACAACAGGTCAGGATGATTTTAACATTATGGGTTCCTGTTTGAAATCTCTGGGTTTATTTTGTGAATCATGTTTGCCCACCTAACAGTACTAATATTTTGTTGCACCCTTGAAAGGATCTCATGGCACCTTGTGGTGACGTTTCACCCTGGTTGAGAATCACTGGTTTAAAGCAACGGTTCTCAACCTTTTTTGTACCAGGATCCATTTGTAAACATCAGTGACCAGTCCCGACCTGGTGCCCCTCACTCCTGACCTGCTGCCCCCCACCCCCAGGCCCGAGGCCCCCAGTGTCAGGGATTGTGTGTGGGGCATGGGTGTGTGTGTGTGGGTATGGGGGGGGGCTTCAAGCAGCCCCTCAGAACTCTGTCAGCCTGTAAGCAAAAAGCCACGGTCTCCCATGTTTTTCTCCTTTAAAGGAGAATCAATTTTTAAAGTTTGTTCATGACCCTTTCACATATTCTTGTGACCCACTTTTGGGTTGAAAAACAATGGTCTAGAGCAGTGGTTTTCAACCTTTTTTCATTTGCGTACCCTTACAAAATTTCAAGTGGAGATGTGGACCCCTTGGAATTGTAAGTGTAGCTATTCACATACTGAACATAGTAATGTTTTGGTGGACTCCTTAGATGTAGCCTGTGGACCCCCAAGGATGTGACAGATTTGTGTGAATAGAGATGGTCTTTGTAAGCAGATAGTAATAGATTCCAAGGGTGTTGTGGCAAAACTGACAGGGTTTAAATTACAGTTTAGCCACTGGGTTCTTATTTAGGGTTCTGTTTCTGGAGGGTTATTGAGGCTCAGCTTTAGCTTTGGGCGATGCAAAGAGGGAGGGAAAGGGTTCTGTAAAGTAAGAACAGATTAGTTGATTCTTTTCAGTCTGTAAGTGGCTGCCTGCAATCCACTGCCTAAGTTTCTAAAATCAGAACTATATTAACATTCAAACTCCTTACCTGAGTGCTTTTTGTTAAATGATTTGTCCTGCAACAGCCTCACTTAGCAGAATTTTTTTTTTTAGAAATCCTCCTTCAAATATCTCCCTGGGTTTATGTGTTTCTTTTTTTTCTCCCAGATTTAGAAAGATAGAAAACCCCCTGCCTTACAAGGTCAAACAACCCTGTCCTGGCCAATTCCAAAATTTTATAAGCAGTTAAAAGGAAAAGCATACAAAACTGTTCAAGGTCAAGTAACCTTGTCCCTGAACCGGGGTTGGTAATTCAGGGATATAATTATGTATTTTCCAGTGCTCTGCTTCAGTTTTGTTACATTATCTAAAATGAGATTATAAAAGTTTTAAAACCACATATTCCTTATTATAATTCTACTATTTATTTTTTGATTTAGAAATAATTATGACAGCATGTGTGATGATGCACAGTAAAATATTCTGAAATCCATTTATTTATTGTTTTGTTTATTTCTTTGATTTAATTTAAATATGACAACATGCATGGTGCTGAGGGATGATGGTTTGGACTTTAAAGTCCTTAAAGGCATGGGCACACAAACAGTATACAGCAAGGTAAAGATTAATAGATTCATAGATTGTAAGGCCGGAAGGTACCTCAGAAGATCATTGGGTCTGGCCCCCTGCACCAAGCAGGAAATATAACTGGGGGTCAGGTGACCCCAGGAAAGTGACTGTCCAGTCTTTTCTTGAAGATTTCCAGGGTAGGCGATTGCACCACCTCTGGAGGGAGCTTATTCCACAGTCTGGACACCTGAACTGTGAAGAAGTTTTTCCTAATGTTGAGCCTGAATCGATCTTCCAGGAGTTTGCGGCCATTACTTCTGGTTTTCCCCTAGGGTGTCCTGGTGAACAGTTGCTCACTGAGCCCTTGATGTATTCCCCTAGTATAGCGGTAAGCTGCTACCAGGTCCCCTCTCATCCTTCTTTTCTTCAGGTTGAAGAGTCCCAGATCCCTCAGCCTTTCTTCAGATGGCTTGCCTTTTAAAACTCTGATCATATGGGTAGCTCTTCTTTGGACTCTCTCAAGCTTGTCCACGTCCTTGTTAAAATGTGGTGCCCAGAACTGGATACAGTACTCCAGCTGCAGTCTCACCAGTGCTGAGTAGAGAGGAAGAATCACCTACTTGGTTTTGCTGGGGATGCATCGATTGATGCATACCATAGTAATATTTGCCCTATTGGCTACAGCATCACACTGCTGGCTCATATTCATACTCCCAGGTGGAGCACTTTACATTTCTCAACGTTGAACTTCATCAGGTTCCAATCCACCCAACTTGCTACCCTGTCTAGGTCTGCCTGTAACTGTAGCCTATCTTTAAGCATGACCACACTTCCCCATAACTTGGTGTCATCCACGAACTTGGCCAGTGAGCTCTTCACCCCCACATCCAAACTGTTAATAAAGATGTTGAAAAGTACTGGACCGAACACAAGATGGGGCTTGACCAAGCACCAGCTATTCTGTGGTAAGTATTGTGTGTACATTCAGTGAAAACTTCTACTGGTTAGTGTTCATTTAAGTGTGGGCACATGGGTACAACATAACTAGCATCTAGTCAAGTCACACCCTACTTTACTTTGTGGTGAGTTGTTTGTGTGTTCTTCTTTGTAGAAATAAAAAACGCTTTAGAGAATCCAAAGGAAAGAGTAACTGAATATATATATTTTTAACCTGATGAAGTGCATAATATTGCTTTATCAGCCCTAGTCTCATGGTGTAATAGTATGGCAAAATAAAACATTTTGACAAACTGGCATTTTCTCCTACATGATCAGGGCCTAGTTCCTGCATCTGATATCATGAAGGTAAATTTCTGTGGTCAGGAGGACAGTGCAGACTTCAGAGTTCATCCACACAGAAATGGGCTGCAGGCTTGGGCTTCCATCTCAGTGGTCATTCTGTTCCTGCTGTAACATGAAACTTTATACTTATATGATCCCTCTGTAAAGGAAAGTAGTTTCATTAACCCCATTTTCTAGGTGCAACTATAGAGCAAGATTAATGGTCCTGTATTACATATGGGAGGATTCCCACTAGAATCAATGGGATTACTCGCATATTACATGGGAATTGTGCACATAAGTGCCAGTAGGATTGAGACGTAAGGATCTTGTTCCAGGCCACCAAGGGAGCCTATGGCAGAGCCAAAAACTGAAGCCAGATTTCCTGAGTCTCAGTCCACTGTATTAGCTTCAATGACCTTTCCTTCCATTCAGCTTTCATTGGTCAGATGATACTATTTGAAAGCCCTATTTAGTTTTATCAATTTAAATCTCCTCTTCCATCTTTGTCCCACTGTCCCATATTTCTCTTAGTTAGTCCTGAGTGCAGGTTAATGATCAGGAAACAAAGTTTAATGGATTAAAAAAAAAAAGTTAGATTGCTTAAACTCATTTACAGATAACTGTTAACAGCTTAAGACTGTACTCTTGCCAAAAGCATTGAAGAGAGTAAATCTGGGGTCAGATTCTGCTGTCAGTTTCCCACGTGTTTCTGAGACTATAATTGAGACTGCGGAGTTTAACAATATGGAGCCAAGTCCTGGAAATGAGTTCATCAGGCTGTGTACTCAGAATAATATTGATGGGGGTAAGGGGCAAATTCTTCAGCTGTATCCTCTGGAAGCTGCCAGTTCTCCCACAACTCATGAAGAGTTCTAGCATCTGCTTTTAATACTTCAATGCCTCTCACAGACCTCATTCTTTGCCAAAGTTTCAGATGCTGGTGGGGGGTAACTACCAATTCACCAGTTTTGTATAGGAGATGACTGAGAGTTTGCACAGCGTCATGACCTTCAGGCAGAGCTGGGGATGGAACCTAACACTCTAGCCAACACAAGTTTCTTCCTGTTTGTTATACAACCTTTCAGATTATGTTGAATAAGGTGCTTTTGTAATCAGCTCTGGCCCTCTGGCCCTCTATAGCAATGGTCAGCAACTTTTTCACATGGACCAGAATGACCCAGATCAGGTCTAAGGCAGGCGAGCACTAGGATGTGGCCTATATGCTACCTCTGCTGCATCTCTCCACCTTCCAGCCACAGCACAGGCAAAGCCCCCCAACACCTGGCTGCAGCACAGGCAAAGCATTTTATCATTGGAATGCTGCCAAAGTGCTCTGGCTCTGTGGGCCATAGGTTGCTGACCCCTGCTCTAAAGCAGGTATACCATATTTAGGGGATGTCTACATGGGACAACACAGAGATGTATAGAGGTACTCAAACTAGTAAATCACACATTTTAGGATGTCTGGCATATTGGATAGCTCCAGCATCTCTTTATGGCACTGCAAAGTGTGGTGTGGACATACCTTTAGAGCGGGGGTGGGCAATTATTTTGGCCGAAGGGCTGCTTAATAAAGTTGGGTGAGCTGTTGAGGGCCACATGAGTTGCCCCAGCCCTAGTTGCCATCTTGGGATCGGAAGTACCGCCCCAACCTTTGCCACTGGAAGTCCCTCCCCTTGCCCCCAGAAGTACTCCTTTTGGGAAGAGGGGTTTGTCATTTTGGAACCAGAAAAAAGCCAAATCATATACTAAAAATCAAAAAACTATTATAACATATTTTATTTAAAAAAATATTATGGTCCTTATTTACATGTGTTTGCATAGTGTATACAGAGGTGATCGCAAAATAGCTCAAAATAAAGTCTTACTTTTTGTGTATTGTGTGTGGGGTGTTGTTGGGGGGGCTGTATGTGTGTGTGTGGGGCATGCGTGTGTGCTGTAGGGGGATGTGGGTATGTGAGCAGGGTATGGGTGGGCATGGTGTTTGTGCGGGGTATGATTGTGTATGGGGAAGGGTGTGGTTGTGGAGTTTGTGGGGGAGCCTGTGTGGGTATGTTGGGGTGTATGTGGGACACGCACATGCGCACACACCCATGTGCGTGTGCGCCCTGGGGTGACAGCCCTCCCTACATGCAGTGCAGAGCAGATGGGCACACTCAACCCTAGGACTGTGGCTGCTGCTGGCGGGGGCTTGTAGCACCCACGGCTCTGGTTACTGAAGCCTCTGCTCTGTCTTCTTTTAGTGACTGGAGATGCCTGGGCTGCCATACTTCCCCCTCCCCCCCACCATTGCAATGGAAGCCAGTGGGCCCTGTGTTGGCAGTGGTGGCTGCAGGGCCTGGGTTGCAGGGTGTGGTATACACAAGCTCCTGGGGCTGCTGCTTCCAAGCCCCGGGATTAGTGTCACTTTGCTGTGCAGGGGAGAAGTGATGCTTGCAAAAGAGCTGGTTGAGAGGAGGCCACATGCGCCTGAGCAAGCCAGTGAGCGTGCCCCCCTGAGCTGAAGTGGAAAAGGTGAGTGCTGTGAATCTGAAGGTTGTGGATTCAAGCCTTAAACATAAGGGTTAGTGAACACACTTTGGAAGATCTTTAAATACATTGGAGGAGGATCAAGCTTGTATATTTGTAAAAGATAAGGATATTTATTCACATAATGCCCATTGTCATGGTATTGGAGCATTTTCCAAACCTTTGAGTGCAGGGGGTATAGATCTGTTTGAAATGTGGAAGTTTTGATATGCAGTGTCCAGGCAGATATTTTTTACACACAGCTTCTCAGTTTTGCTTTGCATTTGGTATCAGTAGCATTTCTGGAGTGATTCTTGTACTGCAAAATGTGAACAGAGGTAAAAATCTGGATATTGTGCTGATATTTGCATTACTGCTGAATTTTTTTATTGTCTGTGTAATTGGAACTGTCACTTTAATAATGCAGTGTAATTACTTAGTTTGTTTGCAACTTAGAGTAATATGCAGGTGTTTTGTATGTGTGTCCAGAGAGTGTGCTGTTGGGATAAACTCCAATATTTGATTTATTGAATACCTTTCCAAACTAGCAAGTTTCAGTGTTGAAATGATAACATCAGCCCTTACTTATTGCACCTGGGTGCCTCCAAGCCTACTCATAAATGCATTGTAGTACCTTTCATCTGTAGGTCACTACTTTGAATTTAGCCCAAACCAGTTGGGATTAAAAGTTGTTACGATATAGCAGACAAAGTTCTTTGAGTAGATGTGATATCTTTTATTAGACGAGCTAAATAGTTGGAAGAAATGTTCTTTGCAAGCTTTCAGATACAAACACCCTTCTTCAGGCAATAGGGAGAATCAATACATGTTAGTACTGTTCTAAGTACAATTCTGAGAACTCCTGCAGTAGGGTGCTTTTAGCCACCATTCACCCGAGTGTTGAGGTACTGATGCTGTAATTGATGCAACCCCTTGGGACTGATTTAAAGAAAACAAGCTAAAGAATGTGTTTGAAAAAAAAAGAAATTTGAATGATTTTAGGCTGGTCTGCTGACTTTGCAGAAAAGAAGGGGAAGGATTGCTGACACACACTTTTTGAACTTCTGGGCTAGGGTCAGACATTCAAAAAGCCAGAGCCTGAATCTCAGGCTAGAAGCTGGGGGCACTAGAGCAGCCTTCCCTTCCCTTCCCTTCCCTTCCCTTCCCTTCCTCAACATCCCCTAGGGGGCATGACCAGTCCCCCACAGGGGCTAAGTATGATGGGGGGCATTTAACACCCCTCCCCCCAGCCTGTAGGAACCCCAGCTGGGGTGTTTCTGCAGGGGGAGGAGGGAAGCGGCCCTTGCCAGGCTTGTCCCTGAGGCCAGACACCAGGTGGGGCAGCTCTTCAGGTGAAGCGGGGCAGGGGTGGGGATTAAACTCTCCTGTCTCTGGGCATGGGGACCCCAGCTGGGGTCTGCTTGGCTTTTCCCTCCTGCTCCTGCTTGCGTGGCAAGGAGCTGGGCCAGAGCTGGCCGGCATGGCCCTGCTATTCACCTGGGTCTGGAGCTGCGGCTGTGGCTGCAGCTAGGGCTGGAGGGCTCAACCAAGCCCCTTTGAGCGCTGCTGAGGGTGAACCCAGAAGGGCCAGCCGGGGCTGGCCAGTGGATGTGCAGCTTGGGCTGGGGCCACGGCAGCTCTGTGGCCAGATTGCTTCCAGCTCCCTGTGCCCAGGACAGGTGGGGCTGTCATGGAGCCCTTCCCAGCTGTCTGTGGTTCCATGACAGCTCTGCCTGGCCTGGGCATTGGAAGCCAGGAACAATCTGGCCACACAGCTCCCATAGCCCCAGCCCAAGCTATAGCCTGCTGGGAAGGGCTTGGCTCCTGTGGCCCAGCCTAGGCTGGCCCCTCTGTGTCTGCCCTCAGTAGCACACACAGGCCAGCCCAGCTCAGCCCTGCAGCTACAGCCCCACCTGCAGGTGAGGCAGGTGGATGGTGGGGCCATGCCAGCCGGCTCTGGCCGTGCTGCTACCCCTGCCGCTGGAGTGGGGAGGTGGGAAGTGCCTGACAGCGGCTGCTCTGCCCTGGCCAGGCCGACCCTGCCGGTGGAACAGAGGACAGAGGGGAAGATTAAATCTCCCTTCCTCTTCCCATTTGCTTCAGGCTGTGGAGGGTGCTGGCCATGCCCCCCCGCTACCACTCGAGCAGCAAGGGGACAAATGCCTGACAGGGG